TGCTTTGGTTAAATATCGTCGACAGGTTTCAGACAATTAGTACGGGACGCTGATTCTCACGGACTTTTATACAACTATGGCTTGATTTCACACACTTTTTAACTCGTGGGTACGCGCGAGCGTACCACGAGTTATTGCAGGGACAGGGATATGCAAATGACTCACTCGCTCACTCGTAGTAGACGCACTTCGTAATTAATCGGGTCCGAACTCAAGAGCGCGAAGATCTATCGTCTCCAAAGAAGAACGCGCCCGCGGAAGTTCGGTGGCATCAAATTCCTCGCTGAGAGCGTGCATCGTGCGCTACAGCACGGTTAGAGGATAGAGGTCTTGCCAAATTGAAGACACGCAGGAATCTTTCAGATTAATACGATTCAAGAGCCTTTGACTCGTCCAGTCGTTAAACTTGACGAGAAGATGAGCATTTGCTCTTCGACTCCTTCAACTTCGACGCTGGCTTGATCTCCTACCTTGTAGCAATGTAGTAGGTTATGTGTATGAATGAATGTATGGTATGGCCTTACTCACAGCACTTCACTTTCCAGTGGAAACTACCTTGTCTTGTAAGCAGGATAGAAAAGAGCGGTACTGGGGACAACAATTTTGGCAAATGGAAAGGGACATTTCGGTCCGACCGACCGAAATGACCAGACCGGTCACAGTGGACCACCTTCAAAGCTGGTCCCGAATATTCCGGTCGGACCAAACCGAAATGGTCCGTTCCATTTGATGTACCAACCGAAATTACCGGAATTTTGGGTTGAATGGAAAGCGCCCTGGGAGATAACCTGCTATTATGCCCCGCCTAGGTTTAGCTTGCGTGGAAGGCGCAAAAAAGGGGAGGGGAGAGGGAGAAAATTGCGTAAGAGGGGAAAAGGGAAAGGAGCGCCTGCTATAAGAGCCGGTGTTTTTGTATTCCACCCAACATTTTCTGAACTAATCCGATAATGTCAACCGTGAATACGTGACCAATCACAAGCAGGGGGCTTCTCAGCATGGTCCGAACTTAATTACTTTAAAATTGTGTAGTCTCTTTCGCAGCCGTTATTAGGGTCGTCACGCAACTCTCCTCCCCACTAGGGGAGGAGCGTTGCGTGACGACCCTAATAACGGCTGCGAAGGAGACCAGAAATTGTGAAGTCGAGACACTTTTTTTCAAATGATATCATAATCGAGCTAAATAAAACATCTTTACTGTTCTTGCTCCCGAAGCAAACACGACAAACATTTAGACTACGAGAATTGCCTTTTATTGAATCACCAGAGCAGTTAAGGGACAGTATTATCATGGTAAAAGAGAAATTAAGACATATTGAAAGCACGTCAGAGTTAGAGTTTACATTGTGAGATAACTATTAAAATTTATTCAGCACTCAATTAGGCCATCCCCTTTTGTTTAGCGTCGAATGCGTTTTCTGATATTGGGTTGGTCAGTCGGATTGGAAAAAAAAAGCTTAAAAAAAAGTCACAAGAGGTCTCGGAATAGGAGGCCCCAGTAACCCAGGATGACGTTAAAAGTTAACATTCACATATTTGGATGAACAAAATACACAATATACTGTAAAAAATATTCCTGTTTTTGTTCCTGTTTTACTTTATGATGTTACTGTGCTCATTTTTCATATTAAAAGAATTATTTCAAGTGAAAACTGGTTCAACTATGTCGTTACTTTTTTTTTTTTGAAAATGCCAAAAATTCGGGTCGGTCGGATGACACTAAATGGAGAAAAAAAAGAGGATGGCCTTAACTTCAACTTCAACTTCAACTTTATTTAAATTTGAAAATATAGCAAAAGATACATTGGGACTGGCCTGCAGTCAGCGAGGCTATTCGAGGCAGGCCAGGCTTACAACAAACTAGACAAATACAAAGAAATTAGGCGTTATATAAGTATATACACTTTACATTAAATAGATACGTTCTACTTAAATGCAAGGACAATAATTAAAGTGAAATTTTAGAAATAAAATGAAAATAAAGGACAAGAGAATTACTCTTTCATTTTCACGATGATCGTATCCACATCAATATAGGAGTCTTCAGTTTCAAGGAAATCGAGTAGCATTTCTTTTAGTGATCTTTTAAAAGCTTTTTTCGGTCTTTCTTTAAGAATTTGAGGTATCCCATTCCAAATTTTGACCCCAACACGCGAAAAAGCATTTCGTTTGAC